AACCTCCCTGTTCAGGGTTCTCTTGATAGGGATCTCAATTTCCAAGAACGTATTTTTTAGCATCCAGTAGAATTTTTCTTTGAAAATTAGCACCGGAAACATCGACGCTTAATCAGTAGCTTCCAAAATCGAGAATCGAAAGTAGTCAAAATAACTCATGATGATCATCTGGGAGAAGATCGTTTTTGAAAATTGCCAGTTGCAACCTGAGGACACAAAGTGCAAACAACCCATTACTGAAGCTCCAGCTATAAACGCGTATCCGATAAGACCGAGCCAATAATTGGACGAAAAAAACAGAGTTTTCTGAACAAAATCAGGCGGAAAAAAATCGTCACTCCGACCCTGTGCTCGGTCAAACTAATTGCACCAGCTAAACACAATTGGACAAAAAGTCGCCATTGTTTCGAGCATCTTCCGCCGTTCTCTCAGCATGGCGTCATGTCCGGTTCCGCTGGGCCCCCCGGCCGCCCCCATTCCAGCAGGACCCTCCTGTGAACTTTGTCGTTCGTTTTCTTCTTCGTCTATTTTTCGGTTTGGCGTCGCGGTTTATCAGGAAACTGCGCTCCCAACTCTGGACCGTCTCGAGTTTTAATGGAAAATTATCGGGTTGAGCTCGATGACTAATTGCTTTCGTCATATTTTTCGCCACACAATAGGAAACAACCGTAGAAGATGAGCATTGTTAGTCAGTGCAGAAGTAATATAGTTTCCAGCACACTCAGTTGTTTTTCGGGGAGTTTTCCTAATGGACGTGGACGAGGCACGAGTTATTTTCAACAGTCTTGAAGATGAAGTAGGCATTCATTCAACGTAGAGAAACTGCAAACAGCTATTGGATCTGCTGATGGGTTTTTTAGGCCCCTAGTATGAGATCACGTGAGTGAGCAACGCAAATGAAACTCACGCCTCAGTACAATGCAGAAGAATGTTTTACATATAGAGGGTCGCTTTCTGAAACCCAATCGAATAAAAGCGCATGGTGATCTAGAATAGAAGCGCCAGCAATAACCTTAAAGAACGAATAAAAGAGCAATATTGCGGCGATAACAACGCAAAAAGAAGCCGGCAAAGCTCGATGATGGCAACTTAATGTGCGTGGAAAGGAAAGCTTTTATTTTAAGTGCATTTAGCCCTTCCAGTGCGGCATTCTCGTTTAGACCAGCAAATACATAATTTCTCAGGTGCATTCTCATGCCTGCAAAGTAATCTGGCGAAACTTAATTCCGCCGTATCAATTCCGGCCGATTAAGGGCGGCCTAACAGCCCCCTGTCGAGCCCTTAGAGGGCCACTTAAAGTAAATTGTTTGACGATTTCGTCGAGCCGGCTAATCCAAATCATTGCTGACGCGAAGGGCCGATATTCCACCCCAGAAAAATACGGTCTTCGAATCGACAGATATTTATTTTAAAAGGGCGGTTTTTATCCGAGCTGTTTTGGTGGCAATTATTTGATTGGATCACACGGAAGTCTTACTTTGTATCGGCAGGAAGTCGAGTGTGAAACAACGACAAGCTGTGGAAAATCAGCCAGAAATGAAAAATTTGTCAGGTTTCTCAGCGATTTTTTACTTCGCATTTCCTCGATACTAAGCTCTTGCTAGACTTGGAAGGAATCTTCGTGATTTGAAAGTCTCAGTGTTTCAAGCGTCGCTAAAAACCCCGAAAGTTAACTTCAAGATACTCGGCTTGAGTCTCATCAGATGCATCCAGGCGAGCAATTTTTTGCTCTTTTTCACATCCAAAGTCAATTATCGCAGGGAAACTTTCCATCTATGGATAGCGGAAACGGAATGAGCGCTTATGCAAATGGCGTGCCCCGTTTTGCGGTGTGTTTCGGTGATCGGCGCTCGTCTCGCGAATCTGAGACGCAGCCAACCGTTCCGGAACCGGCTTTCTTCTCCTATTGATTTTCTCCAACGTTAGCCGCCCCCTGATAGGGCGGCATTTGCTCCCCAGGGTGCCCAGAATCCACCCTTGAACGCTTTCTTTGCCGCCACACCGCACAGTGTGTACCTTTTGATTCGAGAGGGTCTGCAGGCCGTTTTTTTACTTTCAGCAAAATTTTACAGTTTCTTGTTTTTTTGCTGCCCACAGCTGTTTTGGTGTTTTTCCCCATTGCCGTTTGTATCCAAAAAATCCTGTCAGGGTTAGTTGACAAAGAACAGCGGTTTTTTTAAAGGATTTTTTTTATGAACATGAATGAATTAGACCATTTTTTAGTGCTTTTTACTGTGCAAGCTTTGTTAACGTGTACTTTTATGTTACAAATCAAAATTAATTCCTGGGTTTCAGTCATTTATTCTATTTATCAATTAAAATACGTTTCGGTGTATTTTTCCACCATCATCAGTTTTTATGTGTAGCGTTGTTGCTACTTTAAGCCTTGGCATACATTTGGTAAATGTATGTAAATGAAACCCAGGAATTAATTTTGATTTGGAATTGAATCACAGTCAGGAAAGTATGCACTTTTATGTTACGTTAACAATTATTTTATTTCTGCAACATTTTGTTTGCAATGCGTTGTGCTTATTTTTCACTTTTCATGCATTTTATCCCTTCATGTCCTCTTCTTAGTTCAATGAAACTGGTTAGTTTTTCGGTCTTTTAAGTTGTCGCGGAAAATAAATTAATCCGGATGATTCGCAAGTACAAGCGGGGAGTTCTTCGGAGATGGTTTACTAATTCCAATTTCTCTCACTTTTATGTCCATATATTAATTACCCGGAGTTGGGGCTAACTAAACATCCTGCTACCATTATTTTCCTGTGGTTTTCTGCAACATTTTGTTTGCAAAGCGTTGTGCTTATTTTTCACTTGTCATGCATTTTATCCCTTCAAGTCCTCATCTTAGTTCAATGAAACTGGTTAGTTTTTAGGTCTTTTAAGTTGTCGCGGAAAAGAAATTAATCCGGATGATTCGCAAGCACAAGCGGGAAGCTCTTCGGAGGTGGTTTACTAATCCCAATTTCTCTCACTTTCATGTCCATATATTAATTAACCGGAGTTGGGGCTAAATAAACAACCTGCTACCATTATTTTCCTGTGGTTTTCTTCAACTTTCCTTCAAAATGGTGATTCTACTACTATCAGGTTTCTATGCATCTAATATTTTTCAAATCAAGTTTGATTTTGCTATTGTAAAAATGCCCCATTAATTTAATTTACTTCTGAATCTTTCTTTCGATTCATACATTTCGTCAAAGTCTGATTTCTAATCTCTTTCTGAATTTGTATTTGGCAATAGTCTGTTTCTGTTTCTAATATTTCCTGAAGGCTCACAGTCCTTCGGACACTAAAAATAATGAAGTGCAAAAGTTCATCATGCTCATCTAAGTAAGAAACCGTTTCGAATTTGGCAAACCTTTGCGTGGCGAAGAGCAAAAAAATAACATCAGAAGCAGTCGCTAAGAGTACGGTTTGCACATGTGTGTTGGGTAAAACGGACTAAAAATTTAATTTCCAAGTAAAGCAGCAAAATATGTTTAAGTCACTTGAACACTACTGATTAATCACTTTGAAATCCACATCGCACGAATAAAAGTATTTTAATATCAACACTAGGAAGCGCACACACATGGCTGCATTAAAACACTATTCGAAAATGAAACTCTGATTGCCTTAATATGAAAAAAGCGATCCCCCTCAAAGGGAAAATAGACCCATTAAAAAGCGGTCAAAATATGGATCAACGCTGTGGGATAAACATTGGACACGTGATGGAGCGCCGTTCTTCGGGCCTGCGGCCACGTGCCACATGGAATAGCACTTCGTTTAAAAGTCATTTGGAACAATGCCGTCGAACGAAATTGACGAATTTCCGAATTTGTCACGCTGCAGGAAAACTTTCGATTCGGCATGAGTGAAGTTTTTCCCAGCCGATCTGCAGCTCCAATTTTCCACGGTGCCTAAGAGGAAATTCACTATTTTAAACTTGTCGGGTTGAAAAAAGCTTAAGCAGGACCAGATCCATTGCAAGAGAAGCTTTATTTATTTTTTCCTGTAGAGGAGCTTTCCCAAGAACACAATTGCAAAAAGCTTTAGTAATTTGCAAAACAATACGAACTGAAAGACGAGCCACAAAGTGAACTGATCTTGAAATGTTACAGCGGCCCAGTTCGTCTGAAGAGCTGAGTCAAATGTGGAAAAATCCCCTACAGGATGAAACATATTTTGCGACTTAGATCGTGCCAAAGCACATGAAATCGACTTTTTCGCGATCAACAGCCGGGTTTTGCAGCTCGCAGGACTTAAAACCGCAGCCTTTCCTGCAGGATTCAGGTTGAAAATTTCGCATGGCCAACTGTAAAAGCTTTCTCCAGTCGTATTAGAGGCTCCGGCTGCCGGTAATGTAATTTGCATTGAAACTTATTAGTTTCAGAGTTGCGTTTTGTTTATCAAAGAGTCCGCGATGGTACAATTAATGTCGCCCCCGCTTTTGATGGCTTTTTGCCCCAAAACAACCATTTGCGGAAACCCACTTTAGGTTTGTGGATAAATCGAAACATTTGTAGCATTAAGATTTTGGTTGCACCTAGAACCACCAATAAACCAAAATGTTTACATCATTAACAAGACAAAAAAGCTGAAAATGATTCTTGAATAGTCAATTCCAATCGAGAAGCACACGGAAGGATTATTCTCGTGGGGCGAAAATAAATTGCGCCGCTTTCAAACTACCCCTTACAATGCGCTTTCGGATCCGCCTTCTACAAACTGTAGTACACTTTTGATAAAGACCTCAAATGGAAAAATCAGTAATTCCCCCCGTTGCAATGATTCTATTTAAAAAATTCCATTGCCCTCGTAAGTGAAACATATTTGCGTCCCCAGGGATGCTCTTAGGGGCGGTTCACATAGCCAACCGGCATGCAGAGTTGCGAAATGCCGGTAATTTCATTCCAAACTGTATGGATTAGCGATCAAGGGGCCGCCACATGTGCCAACTTGTTCGATTATTGCTCATTTCAGAGAAATTATGAATAGGAAAAACTCACCTATTTATCGACGAGACACTGGGCACATTATCCTGCGAACAGATGCCTTCAGCCAGCAGCCGATCGCGAATTTCCCATGCAAACATTGTGGGATTTTCTCGCTTGTAGTTTGCAATTGCGTCTACCACTGGGGGGGTGGCAACTTTCGGCTTGGAACCACCAATCACTCCCGCCTTGAAACTGCCAGTCTCGTAGTACCTGGAACAGGGGAGGTTCCATCTATTACATATTTGAAGATTCGATTATTTGATTAGGAACCCGCTTTTTGCTTGGTTCAAGGCCGGATCCAGGGGGGGAGTCATTCGGGTCATGACCCCCCCCCCATTCAACTCTTTATCCAACGATGCCAAAACGAATTATCTGGCTCGAATGGTTCTTGAGAAACTTCGAAAAAAGCAGCGTCATGTTCAAGTGGATTTTGCAACTCAAAAAAAACCACGCAAATCTAAAACTTCTTGAATTCAAGCATTTTTTAAAAAAACTGCCAACATTTCCTTATCGATGGTTCACTTTCTAAAAAAGCCATTTATTTCTGCCCAGAATGATGTACAAATGAGCGTTCTTGCTCATTTTGCCTCCGAGAAATGAGCAAAAACGGGACGGAAAACATGGAATTTTGGCCTAATCTTGCACCGAAGTGTCTGATATTCAAATTTCGCTTTCTGGGTCAAAACTACTCGAATTTCCTCACTCCCGTTGTTAGGACTGAATCGACTTTTCAATTCTATATCCAACGATGCCAAAACGAATTATGTGGCTCTAATGGTTCTTGAGAAACTTCGAAAAATGCAGCGTCATGTTCAAGTGGATTTTGCAACTTAAAAAAAACCCACGCAAATCTAAAACTTCTTGAATTCAAGCATTTTTTGAAAAAACCGCCAACATTTCCTTATCGATGGTTCACTTTCTAAAAAAGCCATTTATTTCTGCCCAGAATGATGTACAAATGAGCGTTCCTGCTCATTTTGCCTCCGAGAAATGAGCAAAAACGGGACGGAAAACATGGAATTTTGGCATAATCTTGCACCGAAGTGTCTGATATTCAAATTTCGCTTT